CCCAGGGTGCTGCCGCCAAGCTGCTCCTTCTTGGGAGTGATTCTCACAGTGGCTTTAGGATAAGCAGCCCTTCTTCCCTGGCATCAGCCACCCCAGCTGCTTGGAGAGAAAGAAATGAGTAGCAGGCCTCAGTAGAGTGCCAGAGACTGCTTTTCAATTGGAGCAGATCTGTAGGACAGATTGTGCCCTTGTGCCTTCCTCCAGGGGTGCCCGGCTCTGTCCACCTGCCCCTGCAGAACATGGCTGTCACCTCTCTGTCCATCAGTTGTGACGCCAGCACAGAGCCGTGCCCACTTCTAGCACAGAGTGTGCCATGCTCTCAGCCTGCTCTAACTCGATAGCTTTTCTCAGCCCGAAACCCAAGCAGGCTGGAGCTTAGGGCTCAGTGCCAGCCTGCAGCTCCTCTGCGTGCTGTGCTCCAACTCACTGGAGCATGTGAGAGCTGCAGGCTCCAAACAGCTTTTCCCTGCTCCAACAGCTCCACTTACCTGCTCTAGCTTTTCTACCCAAAATTGCTTTTGCACAACTGAGCCACACAACAACACCAAATCCCTCAGAAACACAATGAGGACCCATCTGCAACATCACTCCTGTAGGGAAGCATGACTCAGAAATGAAAGGAGAGACAGTGGCAATGCAGAGCTGTGCGTTTGAGAACACCTCTGCCTCCTGGGCACTGAGAATGAGCTGAAGTACTTAATTAACTGCAGCCGTTAATTTTGCTGAATTATTTTGGGGGCCTTTCACAGATGGCTTATTATATACCAAGTTGAGAAATGATGATGTGCCCCAGAGACGAATCAGCTACAGGACATGGCTGACCAGCAGTGGGGCTGTGGCACGTCACAGTGCTCTGCAGCTACTGAGCTAAACCACAGGAGCTCAACACTGTATAAATGCTTTCATCATTTGGAAGTTTTGCACTAATGAAGGCAAACGAGCTGCTCCCAGAGACAAGGATTTGCGAAAACAAAAGATAATTTGGTGGCTGGCTGTCAGCTATGCTGAAGGAGAGCAACATTTTGGCTGTGCTCCTGCCAGCTCACCCAGCTGGCTGCAATCCCGTGCCACCCGCCAGCCCACTGCCTTCTCTCCAAATCAGGAGGCTGTTTGGGTACAAAATCCTCCAAGATGCTTTGTTATGGTGAAGAATCATCATTTGAGCAGTTGGATTTCTTGGAAATTGGCTGAGAGGAAACAAGCTCATGATGGAAACTTAGAGAAAAGGATATAAAAAAAGAAAACATGATACGAAGAATTATTAAGGAAGAGTTAGAGATAGAACCCTAACTGCACTAAGGTGATCATCTACAGACCAATTAACCACATAACTTAGGGAATTAAGTCTGTGAACAACTCAGCATGACAGACAGGCAAGTCAGCTCCAGCACAGAAGACGTCAAAAAGCCAAAGCTTTTGTTGTTCTTCTTTAGCATAAAGATTTGGCTCTGGAGGATTAGATGCAGTTCATGATACTGCAGCAGGATAAAGTCTGTATCTAATACGCTTAGAAAACCTTCTCAAGATAAAAAATAAAATAAAATCCTGTGCCACACATGTATATTTCTCTGCTGCTTCTTCTACGCGTTAATGGATAGGGATTGACTTTGTGAAATCGCTGCAGCAAGCTGCGAATGATGTATGAAGTGAGAAATTCTGCCCAATGCACAGAGAATATGGATGTGCTATGTTACTCGCTGTGCATTACACAGATACACAAGATTCATCTCAGTCAGAGCAGCAGCTGGCAAAGCCTCCAAAGCCCAGAGGCCTGTGCTCACCTGATGCAAAAGCCCAGTAAAGCTGATGGCTAACTCCCCTGACAGCAAAGGAAGGCAGCGGATGGAGATGTGCAAGTGAGCAGAAGGTAAGGGGGGGGCAGAAGGAAGGAATCAAACAGCACAAGCAGGAGCGTAAGCGCTTCTGTAAGAATCATACCTTATCATAACAGAGACAATGCACAAGAGGGATTAAGCTCCAGCACTGCAAAGGCAGTACTGCTGTCTGCTTGGAGAAAACAGATTTGAGCAGCAGCATTGCTGGGGCAGGAATGAAGCACACATTCAAAGAGATCGAGCCATACCACCCCAAACAGGCATGCAATAACATGCACACATGCTGACAAATATATAATGTATACATATTAATAAGAGCCTTTTTTATGTGCACACACAAACACATACCTACATACGTAGTTAGATATATGCTTACTGATACCATTACTGCCTCCATAGGCTTCTTGGAGTACTACGCACACCCATGTTCTCAGGGCAGTGTAGGCATTTCCCAGAGAAAAGATGCATTTATTTTGCCTGAGCAACCAAAAATCCAAACTTCTGGAAGAAACCTGCCTGTGTCAGGGAGCAGACAAGCTCTACTGAACAAAAGAGACCAAAGTTTAGCAGTCCCATTCTTCAAATGGCGTGCACACTTCAAATTGGGACTAAAACAACAGCTTGTATCTGACCCAAAAAGAGCACAGCACTAACATTTCCATTCTAAAGTATTACTAAGAGAGCTGTCAGGGCAGGTAATTTTTCTACCCTCCTCATGCTTCATTGGATTTCAGTCATAGAATCACATCATAGAATTAGAAAATGGCTTGATTTGGAAGGGACCATAAAGACCATCTAGTTGCAACCCCCTACTATATACACCACCCTTCATCTCCCTCTAAGGATTACCGGTCCTCCAACACATCTCAAATATCTGGCAAGACAGAAGTATTAATGTGCAATATGAACTGTTTGGGTACATCCTCCTTTCCAGCAGCTCCTTCCCTTCCTTTCCATCCATGCTAGCTGCTATCTCAGAATGGCATTGTGCCCAGGGAATCTGCTCCCTGGCACCACTGAGCACATTCTGACAGCATGGAAACCTTCCATCTCCTACCTAACCTTTCCCTATAGGCTTCAGATGAAATGACTGCTTAACACTTCTCAAAAATACTCAAGTTACCATATTACTCAAGCATAAACTTCATCAGAATACTTATCTGCTACCTTTGCAGTCAGAAGATTGAGAAGACCGATAGGCAGTTAAAATGATTTTCACATACTCTACTTTTGCTAAGCTTTTCATTTAAAAAGTTCACCTGCGCAAACATCCCTTCATGGGTGCCATGACCTGGAAGCAAGATGACAGACATTTACTGTCAGCTCATGAGAAGATATGCTAAGGAAGTCAGCTTTTATAGATGCTCTCTGCACACCAGCACTTGCAGAACTCCAGTATGGCTGTGACCAGGGGCATTCAGGTGCATTAGCATCCCTGAGATGAACAGAGAACTCAGTATGTTACCATTCTTCAGCTTTTTATAAGCAATTTACCAGCAACAAATGCATTTTGTTGTAGACTAGTGAGCTGAAGCTGCAGTACTTCTTTAAAGCACATGCTCTTTTGCATTCAACACTCTGAAACTGGGATGAAATCTGGGGACAAATGTAAGTAACTTGCTCAATTAGGCTTTCATCAATTTTTTAGCAGACAAAAACAAGAGACTTCTTTAACAACCCCCCCAAAAAAAGGAAAATGAAAATGACAGACTTGGAAGAGAAGGAAGAACAAGGATAAAAGGACATTATCTGCTTCCCCCAAACATCTACTCAAGGTGATATTCAGTGCAGCAGAGTGCTCTGCCCTATCTGCTATCCTCTTTATTTTCTACAGAGATTAACAAATTGCCAGTATTTTGTCACCAATTACTTTCTAAATCCTTATTTGTTCATGCCTCAAAGGTCAGTTTGCAGTGACAGTTGGAATGTTCACTGTTCCTCTGGGAATAGGTAAATTAACAGTCATGTCATGGATTATGGCCCTACTAATTTAAAAGTAGTTTTCAATGGCAGTGAGCATCTCTAGCTCAGAGCTAAATCTCCAATCACTCAAGACACTCAAACTGGGACACAAGTTTCTCTCAGGCAGCAGAGGGAATACTTCAGTGCTGATGCCCCATAAAAGCAGCGCTGAAAGCAGCCAAGGCAGAACAGAGAGCCTTCCAGAGAAATGGGCTAAAGGAGGAGAGAAAAAAAGAGAACAGGGACATTAGGCTCAAACCAACTGGCTTTTCTCACCTGTCAAAGCCATTTAAATATATATGTATTTATATCTTTAATGCAAGAAGCACATTTGAAGTTTTCTGCACACTCTATGCACTGTTCCTCCCCCTGCAATCCCACCAGGTGCGATCACAGAACAATTTCTGAAGATGAATCCCACATTGATTGGCTTTTAGTGAAGAAATCAATCGAACTATTTTTTAGTAGCTCAAGGTATCACACAAAGAAATACTGTAATGCTCGCAAGGTAAAAGGAACACAAGTCAAAATCCATTTGTTTTTCCATTTCTGCATCATGCACCTTTTCCCAGTTCTGTACAACTTGTGCATAGCAGCTGCCACGGGCACTGCTGGCGGAAAAACACAGCTCAGTTATTGCCTTGAATATCTACCATTTATTGTGTAGATTTGTTCTCTCTAGGATTTGAAAACAGTTAGGAATCTCTGCTCTCTAGAAGGAAAAACAAAGCTAAGGTGGCACGTTTGAAATCCAAGTTAGGCAATAACTTTATTTCAGTTTCCAAAACATTACCTAAGTTACAAATAATCCCATACTAAGGAAATAAGTTCATCGTGTATATGTTAGCTGTTGTCTGGAGGGAACAGCACAACCTAAGTTACAATTCTGAAATTTTAAAGAGCAAATAAAGTACGTCAACGCATTCATCTCACCCTCCTGCCTTCCTGAACATTGCACCACAGTAGTGTGCAAATGTAACAGTACCAGAGAAATGATATCTCTGCTTTCATTGCAAGTGGTGCAATCCTCTAACAAACTGCAAAATACTTATGGAATCATAAGAGATAGGACGACACCCAATAAAACAGACAGCGTTGGTTTTGATGCTGACAGAGCCTAAAATTAATAATCTTAGACTAACTGCACACACAGATGAATAGCTGAACAGGGCATAACCTCACCTTGTTTCTTTAGAGCTATTCACCAGAACCAAAGACATCCACAGATTTTTAAACTCAAGTTGCTCATTTTGGATTCTTCTCACAGACAGGGCTCAGAGGAAGCAGTTACAGGATACAGCAAGACAGCCACAATCTGAAGGAAACCATGCAAACGCTTCTTTAATTAACAACACGTTATTGTCCCTGCTTACCTCATTTCCCACAGCTTGCTACCAGCTTTGACATGTTTTCATAACAATAAAATGCAATAAATGAATTTAAGTCTCAAAGGACTCTTAGCTGCAATGTAGGAAAACCATGAAAGATAAATGATGTCTTAACTAATTTTATGATTTATTATCCCCTCAACTTTGTTCATCTTGTGATGCAGAGGAGAACTCATTTTTCTATTTGGCAGGACACTATGTCAACCTCGTTAACAGGTACCATTACCGTCACATAAATGTGTTTGTGAAAACAAGCATGGCTTCGCTCCGCTGCTGACCTCAGCACTTCAGTCTTATTACAAGCACAAGATCTGTCAGTAGCAACAACTGATGCATTTACCCAAGGATCCTGCTTGTCTGGCACTGGCATTATCATCATTTTTCTCCCCAAAAAGTTCATCTTTAAGCAAGTGTAGAGGCATGGCTTGAATTACTTGATACCTTGATACTTCATGCATTGTTTGTAAATTCTTACAAAGAACACAATTTCCACATTGTCTTTCAGAGACAAAGGACCAGTGTTAACCAGGAGCCACTGCTTGATCTGAATTTAGCATGAGCTGCATAAACTTAAACTTCAAATTTGCTTTTTGAAAGACTTCCTCAGCACACATTCAGGCTAAGAATAATCTTAACTGAATAACTGCGTTTAATATTGACAAGATGTTTTTAGGTGACAAGAGCAATACCATGAATTTTGCATCTGATGAGACTTTCCAGGCCTTACCTGTTTTAATTGAAATTGAGGGCTTTTAGTGTTTGGTGGAGCAGCTTTATGCCAATGGACAGCAGTGCTGAAGTTCTACCTGCACCTCCTGGACTGGTTTCAGGCAAAGTACAACATAAACCATAATTCAGACACTGCCTGATTTCATCTTCCAGCGCTGTTACAGCATCGGGACACAGGGAAGAGGTGCGCTTGCAGGTCTCTGACTGTGAGCATAGCTCTGTATTAACCACTGTGGAGCTTATAGCAGCCTTGGGACTGTTTTAATCCCAACGAGCAAGCACCAATTACCAAAGGGCTGCCTAACAAACAAGGATAAAGGAAGTGCAGTCCAAAAGGTCCTGAGCTCCTCCCTCTCACCCTCAGCAGTAGATACATGTGCTTCCAAACCTGCTGTCAGGTGTTCCAATAACGTGATACCTTCTCATCTGGCTGTATCTGAATAAACGACATTCAAAAGAGTGTGGGCAGACATTTAGGTAGCAATAAAAAACTGATTGCTTTCCAGACTTACAGCCCAAGTGCAGCAAAAAAATTGATTCTGAAACACACTGACACTCCTAAGCGTCTATGTTTAATTGTATTATTTCCAAACATGATCTCATTTCAAATGAATCTGATTTGATTAGATGTTCCCAATATGTTTATAAACACCTTCAAGAATTTTATACAGTCTTGATATCTGTCAGCATGGTTGGCTTTTTGCATCTCATAACTCAAAATGGTTTGTGAGCAGTCTTTGTGATCATTCTCTCTTACTTCCCCAGCTGATGCCTGTTGGGCACTTCCAAGCTCCTGTCCTCCAGTGAGTACATCTTGATTCAATCACCAACCAATCCCTTTGGAAGCAACGTTCTTCCTAACATAATGCTAATAAATCAATGACTATAATTTATTGGCAACTACTGTAATCCCACTATAAGAAGGAAACAAGTCCTCAAGGACTGCCATTTGCTTTACATTTGAGACCTAGCCATCACCTTCTCCCAAAGGATTCTACTACTTCTTCTAGGCAAGAAACAGCTATTGACACTTTCATGACCACTGGTGCAACCTGTGGTATGGTCAGCAAAATCTATTTCAGAGCTTAGACAATATTTTTATTCTATCAGCTGCCAGAATGGCCTTTGGACTTCATGAGACAGAAAAATACTGATTAATTATGTCAGGCAGGGTGCAAAGCCATCTTGCCTTTCTGTTCTCTCTTGCTCAACTGTACCCAGAGCTTTGGGCCTTCATTACACATGGGAGAAAACAAAACTTGCTTTGTTTACTACTATACCTTCCAAGTGCTTTAAATGACACAAAAAGTTCCCAATTCCTCACAGTCCCAAAGTGTTTTCTAGGAGAATGGCTTATTTGTGTTATTCCTGTCAGGACTTGATGCAGCTTGACTGCAGAACAGCAATAGCCACCTGGGGGTACAAGGGATTCTACCGCAATCCATTCATCCCAGCACCCCACATTATTTTACTTTACTGGGGATAAGGAATAAAACTTGTGATAAGTTAGGTCAACTGTTTTTAAGGAGGAAACTGTGTTTTAAAAAGCCAATTGGTTTCATAACCCAGAGAGATGTTTTCCAGATACACACCTACAACCAAAATAGCAAACAGTAGCAAGTTCTTTTAAGCAAAACATTGCATTTTACAAGCTGTACTTCAACTGCATTTTCAAGATACAGCTGTTATCTACTTGCTTGCTTTTTAAAACCAATTCTGAAACCTTTCTAACCTTCCAGTTTGCTCAGAAGGTGGTGTGAGCTGACTGCTAAGAGAGACACCGAGAGACGAAAGGATGAAAACAGACAGGAAAAGGTCCCATCTTTATCATCCCTTTACAGTGTTCTGTAAAAACAAAGGGAACAGCCAACCCTGAAAACCCTGACTTTTCTCTTTCACAGAGGTATATTAAATTTGCCATATGCACATGCAAACCAGCCTAGTAAGAGGGTGGTTAACTGCTTTATGCTAGATTCCGAAGGTCATACAAATAACTTTGTCTTCCCAGTTGCTTTGCAATCCATCCTGTTTTACTCTGTCACAAACACCTGCTGTTCTGACAGTGTTTAAGATGGACTAGAACATGATGGTCCTAAACTGGAGCCAGGGGAAAACACCTTACCAGAATCACCTGCCATGTGTTTAGATGGAGGAAAAACAATGGGCAGACTGGGACAGAAGTTAGCAGTGTCTGAACATGGGCTTCATGTTTAGATGTGTAGGTTGGGAGGATCACTCTCCAGTGGTCTGGAGAGGTTTGGGAATGGGGAAAATTACAGACCCTTGTGCTTCCAAATGGCCATCTAAAGAAGCCACTGCACAGCACAGGAAGCCCAAGGAGATGGAGCTCCTAGCACAAGGCACTAAAGCAGAGCCTGAAGCTATGCATTTCAATGTGTGTACATTTACACAGGCACCTGAGGGAAGACCAACTGTTATATCCATGTGAAAAGCAAAACCCATCTTCATGATAATGAATTGCAGAATTTTAGCTTGCAAGACCTGAAGTCTGTGGAACCAACAGATAGGTTTGCCCTGATTAGGTAGGGACTTACCCCTCTGACAGAGCCATGTGAGGACTGCGGTGGGCAGCCAAAGCCAAGCACTCAGCACAGCAATTCCTTGGAGGGAAAAGGCTATCTACCCAGTGGGTGCACTGGGCTCCAGAGGGCTGCTAGAAACAGGTTTACAGAATCTGTTCCTGAACTTCTATTCAGTTTGGACTGAGCAGCATGTCTGTGCTGCTTAATGGATGTTCTTCTGTTGCAAAAGATCTTCTGCAGTCTTCACAGAAGAGATCATGTTAAGCCTAGACTGACTTCTACGGCAACAGCATCTTGCCAGATAAAATGCCTTCTTTCATCATGTATCGTATTTAAAAAGTTTATCATCTATTGCAGAAGCACAGGTTTGACACCTCCTATGTGAAGTTGATTCATGTTTGTGCTAAACCTGGGTACGGTCCAGCTGACACAGTCAGCTAAATTATTGCACTGCCAGTTTAATATTTTGCCATCTGCTAACTGAAAGCTCTGCTGCCTGCTGGGTCCCATAAAGACTTTTATTTATTATATTACACATGGCAACATCTGCCACAGGATTCAGCTCAGCTCAGTTTCCTAATTAAACAAACAAACACTACATCTCCAGTACACGATTGGGTCTAACTATTATTTATAAAATGTGTGATAGGTATTTAAGAGATATACATTGTCTGTTCTGGGTGATCAAAAACACGTCCCACAGCCAGGGGGCACAGAGGATTGTTAGAACAAGCTTTAAGCTTCTCAAATACTCTATCTTGCAATCACAAAGCAACTAGAAATCTCTTCGTGTATTGTATTTTTGCTCTTTCTTTATTATTCAGATGCTCAGTTTATGCTAATTAAAACTATGAGGTTATTTTGGACCCCAATTAGTTGTATGCCAAGTGTTGTTTGCCAGGGCCAGCAGGGGAGAACAGCTTCCTTTCTCTCTTGGAAGTGGCACTTGATGAAAAGAGGCAGCAGATCTGAGCACTACTGCACTCTTCAGCTGTCACTGACACCACGAATGCACTTCCCAAGCCTATTTCAAACTTCATCTTAATGAGAGAAATCACTAAAAAAAAACCCAACTATCACTGGTTACACACCTACATCAAGGCTCCCCCCATCTGTGTAGTCACGTGCAGTTCGATCAGGCTGGGAAGAAAACTGGATGAAATCCAGGGCTAATGAATTCAGTGGCAACGCCACAGGTTCTTCAGATTGTCTTTTAACCCACCTCTCATTTTAAACATGGAAGGGAAGATATCAGCAGTTTCAACCATACCTCCCCTCAAAGAAATCATTTCCCAAATCAAACTTTCAAAAATCCAAGGGAAAAATAGCTCAACTAGAGTTTATTTTCCACTTTGCCACTCTTGCAACTGGATCTCATTTACTGCATGCAATTCTATATAAAAAAATTTAAAAAACAAAGAAGAGAAGCAAGACCAGCCATACTTTTTTTTTTCCCTTTATAGATATCTCAAAACTTCTTGTTCATTCCTGTAAAATCCTGTAAAAAATAAATAGCCTCCTAAAACAGCTATCTTAGGCTTATTTTTAACCAGTTTTATTTTTAATTGCTTCCAATTGCTTCCAGTGCCATTGTCACATCAAGACAGCCCTTCTGTTTTCATCAGAACTGGTTTAGTTCCCTGAGTCAAGAATCA